TCCAGGCTCAACCCTTACAATGTAAAAAGCTTAAAAGCACTTCAGGCACACTGCAATTCATTTTCCCATAGATATCCAAGGTACCATACATGTATTTTCATTGTGGGTACTATACGTAGTAGCTTCTAGGTGAGTTCTAAAAATTCATGTAGGAGACAAGGTTAACTATATCCTGTAGTGGGAGTAATAATAATTAATGGGAGTAATAATAATTCAAGGGACAGAGACAAAGATTAGTGCAAACTTCTCATCTAACTCCTGTGCTTTGAATAACCCCTTTGATATGCCTCAGCTCTAACAAGCCAATGAAGATATAGCCACCGGGATACAATTCAAAGTCTACTGATTTTCTCCCTGTTCTGGTCCAAGTCAGGGTGTTGGCCATGTTGATTCCTTCTGTGAACCTTTCTCCTAGTTTCCGGTGGCCACTGGCAGTTCTTGGAATTCCTCAACCGCCACTACCACCTCTTTCTAAAAGTAAGAGCTTTCTAAAAGTGAGACTTATCCAACAACATGGCAGGATGTCTTGTGAGGGTATGAGATTTCAATCTACAGTGGAAAGAGTAGCTTCAGTAGAATGCTTACGGGGTCCTGCACTGAGAGCTGGTCTAAAAGATTTGGGAGAAAGACGGGGCTTTCTTCTCCCATAACGAGTTACCATGTCAGAAACCCACAGGGGCAACTGTCCCGTACTGTTGCTCTGCGTGGGAACCGACTGGATGGCAGCGAGTTTGCTTTTTGTTTTTTAAGAGATTTGTAAGATCTTTTAAATTTGAAGTTTCAATGATTCCAATGTCGCCTTCCTATCTTTACCCACTGTCTTCAAATGAATTCATAACATATTCTTCATAATATTGCAAAGAATGGGAATTTCAGAACATTTAATGGTGCTCACATGGAACCTGTACATAGACCGAGAGAGGCAACCATTCAATACAACAAGTGAATACTGAATGGCTTAAAATCTGGAGAGGTGTGTGTCAAGGTTATAGTCTTTCACCACGCTTATTTGATCTATATACTCAGGAGATAATCCGAAAGGTTGGACTATATGAAGGGCAATGTCACCCCAGGAAAGTGACATAAAGCAGCTACTGATGAAGATCAAAAAATACAGTCTTAGTGGATTATACCTCAGTATAATAAAAATATAAATCCTCACAACTGGACCAACAAGCAAGATCATGACAAACTCCCAAACCTACTGTTATTAAATAGATTGCAATTCATGCTGACCCTATAGGACAGAGTAGAATTTCCCTCTTGAGTCAGTGTATTTAGAGTCCACCTTTACCTCCTCCTAACTTGATAACATCTGTAAAACATTTTCAAGTAAGGTCACAGATATCAGAATTGAAGACCTCGATATATCTTTAGCAGAGATGGGGTTCAACCCACGACATCAAATTTTTAGAATTTTTATTTTGTTTCATTTTTCTTCAATTTTAAGAATCATCTGTCCTAGATCTCATCTTCTAAAATATATAAGAATAAGAGCTATTATACATAAGTTTTGGTATGATTCCCTTATCCCCCCACCCCCATTTCAAACATACAAAGGGACCTTAAAAAGTGTGGAAAATGCAATTAACGATCATCAAATTTTCCACAAACTTTTGGAAGACCCCTTATTTATATTAAGTCACACTTTTTTTTTAGATTCTCACTTTAGGGTAAAAACAATAGAATTCTTAAGTTTTATAATCACTAAATAAAACAATTAAGTCCATACTTTCAAATATATCCAACAATTATCTAATGAAACCTTTCTGTATATAAGGAACTAGTCTAAAAATTGTACACTTTATAAATATGACACTCTACTTTACGAAGTATGTCTTTCTCCATACATTAGTTTCTCCTGATAATGTGGGAACTTTTAGCAGAGACAAATTTAAACCAATTCTCAATTGTATTTCAAAAGGATAAATTCCTATTTTTCAAAGTGCTAATATTACCTGATTACTTAGAGCATTTACTTTAGATTTAAATTTTTAACACATAATTTTGCCTATAATATGTAATTTCTGAATTTATAATATACTTAAAGATTTAAGAATACATATAATGCAAGGGAATTTGAATCTCTTAGACCAGTGGTTCTCAATCGTCCTAATGCTGCGACCCTTTAATATAGCTCCTCATGTTGTGGCGACCCCCCAACCATAACATTATTTTCATTGCTACTTCATAACTGTCATTTTGCTACTGTTATGAATCGGGTGATCCCTGTGAAAGGGTCATTCGACCCCAAAAGGGGTCACAAGCCACAGGTTGGGAACCACTGTCTTAGAAGTTTAAATAGGAAACTGGTATTTAAACAAGCCTTTAGAGCCCCAAGGGAATAGTTGAAAGCACATCATTACTGCAAAAAAAAAATCTTAATATACTTAATCAAATCCTTAGTCACCATGTGGGCTAAAAGGTAATTCATAAAAATGTCTAAAATCACAATTTATCAACATTGATTTTTTTCCCACACTTACTTAGAACACAAAATCAATCAAGGTTAATTAAGTTGAGAACACATTAAGTGGTGCCCCAATTACATGTTATGTTCTAGCTATTCAATTAGTTTAGGGTTACTGTGAGTCAGAATCGACTTGATAGCAGTGAGTTTGAGCATGCAGTTTGTCCATCTTGTTTTTTCTGACCTACATATCCAAGGATACATACTGTATATACTCAAGTATAAGCCGAGTTTTTCAGCACAATATTTATGCAGTTTTTGTGGTAAAATTAGGTGCCTCAGCAAATATTCGGGACAGCTTAGACTCGAGCATATATGGTATGTAAAATAGGAAACCCTTGAATAAGACTAACAGAACTCATTTGTTAAAGTTGCTTTGGAAGATGCATGGAAACAATTAGCTAAAGAACTAATGGACTAAATGAACAATAGCTTCAACCACCCTAGAGACCTGAAGAACCCGATGATGTCCAGCTGGCACTACCAGCTGCCCTGGAGAGAGTGGGAGAAAAATGTGCAGTACTCAAAAGTATTTTTTAAAAGGTCAGGCTTAAGGGTTGGATAGACACTGGTAGTACGTCTGAGGCTATGGCCTTTGGCCCTTCAGGTCTGGAGCTCAATTTATTTCAGTGGTTCAAATTTCAAACAATAAACAGATCTATAAGATGAACAATAACATTAGAATGGTAGCATCCTTTAGAACAATCAACCATTTGACATCAAAAGGGCAGCTTTTGCCTAAGGACAAAGTTCAGAAGGCAGGAAGGGATAGGAAAGGAGGAGGAAGTGGGATGAGTGAAGTTACATTGTGGGGACTACAATCAATGACATAAAACAAAATGTGTGTGAACTATTGAATGGAAAACCGATTTGCTCTGTAAACCTTCATCCAATTCACAATAAAAAGAGATTTTTTTGGTTCTTTTTTTAAAGTTGTTTTTGATAGGTCACTTTTTCTGACCACACAGAAACTAGCAATTACTGAAAATATTAAACAGTAGTATGGCTACTAAGTACATCATTTAAAAAATTCATTTTACTTTGTCGATCGACTGTACAAATTATAGCTCATCAGAACTTACTAAAAAGAAAAAAAAATCTTACTATTCCCATACTTCCAATTATTAAACAACATCAACGTGCAGCAAGTTTCTAGACCTACAGAGGATGTCTTTTCTTTCTTTCTTTTTTTTTTGATGTCTTTCCAATATAGTTCATATTTGAAAAACATCTTTGGGAATATCAGTGCATTGAATTCATGGGCATACACAAGATTTAGATTGCAAGTTCTGTAGCAAAAAAAATTGGGGGCACTGAGAAAAAGACACAGAAGAAGATTATTATATAGCTCAGTTATTGCTCTCACCTTGGTCTGTCGTTTGTTTCTCCATTGGGAGGATAGTCGTAGGTTGGATGAATCATTTGGTTGAAAGTTCATCTTCCAGAATAAGTGAAGAACCAGACGGTGACACATGCGAGTTTGTAAAAGGGTTGATCTGGGTATGTGAGAGACAGGAAGATTAAGCATGGCTGCTGTTTCAACCAAGAGTACCTAAACACAGGCTAGAAGAAGGAAATGTTACTTGTGGGTCAAAAAGTCAAGAGATATCTGTGTGCACTTCACTTTGTCTACAAATGAATGCAAAATACATGAAGCAAAGAACTGGCGCTAGTTTAAAAAATGCAGTTTCACAAGTGTACTACAATAACACTACAACTTTAAAACTTAGTCACGGTAAATAAAAATGCACTTGCTATATTTCCCATCTTTCCAGTTTAGACCATTAAGACATGTTTTCTGAGGCATATTCCAATAATATTTTCAGTCTAACTGGACAAAAACCCAGAGTAGAAAGGTGAGAAGATGGCTTTCTTTCTAAGCAAGTCTTTTTTTTTCTTAATGATTTTACTGAGGGCTCTTACAACTCTTCTAACAATCCATATAGCCATTGTGTTGAGCACATTTGTATATATGTTGCCATCATCCTTTTCTTTTTTCTTTTTCTTTTCTTAATATTTTTATTTATTTTTTAATCATTTTATTGGGGGCTCTTACAGCTTTTATCACTATCCATCTATCCATACATACATCAATTGTGTAAAGCACATCTGTACATGTTGCCATCATCATTTTCAAAACATGTTCTTTTTACTTGAGCCCTTGGTATCAGTTCATTTCCCCCCCTCCCCCATCCTCTCTCCCTCATGAACCCTTGATAATTTATTTTAAAAATGTTCATGTCTTACACTGACCACTGTCTCCCTTCACCCACTTTTCTGTTGTCTGTCCTCCTAGGAGGGGGTTATATGTAGATCATTGTGATTGGTTCCCCTTTTCTCCCCCCACCTTTCCCTTCCCCTCCTGGTATTGCTATTCTCATTATTGGTAATTAGGGGTTTATCTGTCCTGGATTCTGTATGTCGAGAGCTCTTATCTGTACCAGTGTACATCCTCTGATCTAGCCAGATTTGTAAGGTAGAACTGGGGTCATGATAGTAGGAGGGGGGGAGCATTAAAGATTTAGAAGAATTCTGTATATTTCATCAGTGCTATACTGCACCCTGGCTGGCTCATTCCTTCCTTGTGACCTTTCTGTGAAGGGATGTCCAATTGTCTACAGATGGGCTTTGGGACTCTACTCTGCACTCCCTCATTTGCATCAATATGATTGTTTGTTTGGGGTCTTCTGATGCCTGATACCTAATCCTGTCAACACCTCATCAAGCATGTCTTTTTAATGTATTTCTCCAAGTCATTTTTACCCTAGTGTCAAAACCACACATCTAAACATGTATCGATGAAGAGATGAATGAATTGACTATATGACAATGTCACTCCTTTAGGTAAGAGAGAAACAAGTAAATTGGGCTCATTTGGGATTAGTCTGAGACCTTCTAAAACAATTTAGTAACATACCATACTTCCCACATGACACTGCATAATGCCTTATGTCGACTCACTCCATCTTCTCATACGGCAGATGGGCCGTGTTAGAAGAAGGCATGTTGGTCGGGTCTTGGAAAACCCTCTTCGGTTGATCTTCAGGGACCATTTTACCTACAACAAAACAGTGATTCGCGGTAGATATGATTTTTTAAATGTGGTTTATGCCTTTTATTGCAAAAATTGTACTTGTTCACTGCAATTATTTTATAAAACAGAAAAGGCAAACATCAAAATCACGTTCATACAGTGATAACCACACATTAGTGATTCCTTGATGTGTGTGTATATACAGGAGTTTTTAAAGAAAAACAAAATTGGGTTCATGCTGTATGCATTATCGATACACTGTATACAATATTGATACTTGCTGTTTTGAAGGGATAGCACTGTCTCACAGTGTTAAGTGTTACTCAACAACATAATTTTATAGGTAGTACACCTATGCTCTAATTTTTAAAATTTCATTGCTTAGTTTAAACCTTTACATTGCTCTGCATTCATTTTGCTATTAGATCTAACACACAAGAAACCAACTACCATATATACTCATGTATAAGTCGAGTTTTTCAGCACATTTTTAATGTAGTTTTTGTGGTAAAATTTGGTGCCTCAGCTGATATTTGGGTCGGCTTATACTCGAGTATACATGGTAAATGAATTGGGTTCTAGCAGCCCACATTGAATAAAATATCATTTCAAAATTTAAGGAGAAACATCTGTTTTCAAAAAATCATGGTGCTCTCATGGATCCCTGGAAGTACATGGGCACCCTGCAGTGTTTGTTTCACATCCATGCCACTGCACATAGATGTGAGCGATACTGACATTCACGCCCATACCTTCTGTGGTGGAATATATCAAACCATGCTCCCTTGAGACAGCCATTCCCCAGAGCTTCCTCAGGAGCCTATTCACGGCTGGAAAAGCTCAGAAGTGATCCGCTCCCCTGTCCCTGGCCAGCCATCAATACACATCTCATCTCCCCTCTTTGGTTGTCATTTGAAAACACAACTAACCAGAACAGAATCATCATAGAGCAAAATAAGCATTTTCTTTGCCGAGGCCAGGTATTACTTGTAAAACATTATTGATAGCCAGTCAATTTTAGCAGATTTCTTAGAATGCCTGCTCTCAATGCCTGGTTTGATTATGCTTGCTCCTACTGAAATTCAGTGCTGTATTACCAAAAATGCTTTCATGTGATTAGAGCGGCCTCTTCTTGCACTCTCTGGACACATGGTGACCTCATGCATAAGGGGCTGTTACACATGGGGTTTTTACTGGCTGTTTTTCCGAAGTCGGTTGCCCAGTCTTTCTCTCTAGTCGACCTTAGTCGGGAAGTTATACTGAACCATTCAGCCACATGGTAAGGCTGAGTGACAGGGGGGCTACACAGGCGAGGCATTCGTTGGGAATCGAATATGTCTTTTGCATGAAAGGCAAAAATTCTACCACTGAGCTCCAACTCTTATTTCATTTCCCTAGCTTGACCTTCTTTTTGTTTTTAAACTATTCTTCCCAACCTTGTATTTGTATTAGTGGACCCCAAGTAGGATCCAGTTTGTTATTCTGAGAAATGAAAATGGGATGAAATTGAGCTGTCATTGCTTTTGGCCAAGATGAATTTCAAACGAAGTGGTACAGTATCTGTTTGAGAGGGTCTGCCTTAGAATACAGACCACGTGGTAGCTTCCTTGGGGGAAACCTCAAAAGAAGAAGGTCGCCACCTTACAAAGCGGCAGCAAGCCAGGTGCAAAAGCGACATGCCACACACACCGAGGCAGCACTGTGGGCAGAAACCAAGGCTAGTAGGTCAAAATGGAAATATAAAAGCAATTTCCGAAGTTAAGAAGCACAAGAGGAGTATAAAACAAACAAGCCCACTCACTGCCACTGAGATGACTGTGACTAATAGCCACCCTACACCAGGTTTCTGAGACTGTAAAACTTAATGGGAACATCTTTTTTTCCTGAGGACTGCCTGGTAGATTTGAAGTACCAAGCTTGTCATTAGAAACCTAGTACCTTAACCTATAGTAAGGGTTCCCTTACTGTGTAACCCACCACCAGGGCTGCTTGAAGAAGATTCCACATATTTTCAATTTGATAAAACATGTATGTCAACCCAACTCCCTGTCATCTACTGGAGGCCGACTCAGAGGGCCCCTACAGGACAGGGTAGAATGGACCAGGTGAGCTTCTGAGACTGTTTACGGAAGTAGAAAGTCTTGTCTTTCTCCCATGGAGTGGCCGTTGGTTTCAAACTGTTGACCTTGCAGATCACAGCCTGAAGTGTAACCACTTTGCCACCAGGATATATTGCATGTCCATATCTTAAAATACATATTTTGATTTGCTAAAAACACAACTTTCATTTTAAGCACTCCCCAAACCAAGACCAAACCCATTGCTGCGGAGTGGATTGTGACTCTTGGCGACCCTCTAGGACAGAAGAGGGTTTCCAAGGCTGTCATCTTTGTGAAGCAGACATCACCCCTTTCTCCCACAGAGCAGCTGGTGCCTTCGAAGAGCTGGCCTTTGGGCTCACAGCTGAACCCCTGTGCCACCAATACTGTTTCCTTTCAGCCATGCTTTATGTGATACCACAAGAGATTCCAAGTTCTGAATAGCTCTGAGATTCCAAGTTCTGAACAGCTCTGTACTTCATGAGTGTTTTATCCAACATTAGACTCAATGTTGCACAGGCAACAAAACAAAACAACCCTCTGAGGTTTGTTTAGTCACTGTTGCAGGTACATATAGCAATGTAAGAGTGCTTTCCAGAATTTATCTAGTCTTTTTAGAAAGCGTGTATGCTGGCTAGGCACAGTGAGTGAAGTGCTGGGCTGCTAACCACAAAGTTGGTAGTTCAAACCCACCAGCCACTCCAGCAGGGAACGATGAGGCTGTATGCTCCTGTAAGGATTCACAGCTTCAGGAAACCCTTTGGAGCAGGTCTAGTCTGTTCCATAGGGTCCTCTGGGAGTTGGAATTGCCTTGACAGAAGTTGAGTTTCACTTTAAACTTGGGGTTAGGAATGCTGTTAGGAAGATCACTATTCGTTATTTCAATTTCTCGCCCCGTAGCTTGGCCCTTCGTTTTTCTCTTTCTTAATTTAATGAGTTTTTCACAAATAGACATTTTTACAATTGTGATCTCCTTTCCTCTTTCCTTATCCCTCCCCATCCCCTTTCTATTTGTGCTAAAATAGAAAAAGAGGCAGGCCTTCAAGGAGATGGATTGACACAGTGGCTGGCTGCCTCAATAGGCTCAGGCATAGGAACAATGGTGAGGGCCGGGCAGTTTCATTCTGTTGTGCATAGGGTTCCTATGGGTCGCAGCTGACTAGATGGTATCTAGTAACATTTGTACAAAACCTTTTACCAAACAGTTCAATAATAATATTAATGATGCAGGCAGAAGGACAGAACTGACTGAGTGAAATGGTGTTGAGAAATGGGACCCAGAATTATGGGAGGTAATTCCTTTTCCCTAGGTGCTCGTTGGTCCACTGCCCTTTTGTTACTGAGCTGAGCAGGGAGTCCTGGTGGCGCAATCAGGTAAGCACTGGAGTATGAACTGAAAGACCAGTAGTTCAAGCCCACCAGCAGCTCTATAGGAGAAAATATGATGCTGTCTACTCCTGTCAAGAAATGTATCCTCAGAAACCCTCAATAGAGTCAACATGAGTCAGGATCAACTAGATCATCAGTTCTCAACCTGTGGCTCTCAACCCCTTTGGGAGTCGAACGACCCTTTCACAGGGGTTTCCTAAGATATTCAGAATGCACAGATTTCTGATGGTTGGAGGAGTCACCATGACATGAGGAACTGTATTAAAGAGTTTCAGTATTAGGAAGGTTGAGAACCACTGAAATAGATGGCAGTACATTTTTGTTCCTTTTTAAAAATCATTTTATTGGGGGCTCGTACAACTCTTATCACAATCCATCCATACATCCATTGTCTC